GGAAGGAAGGAAGGAAGGAAGGAAGGAAGGAAGGAAGGAAGGAAGGAAGGAAGGAAGGAAGGAAGGAAGGAAGGAAGGAAATATTTATTATTTTTTATACAAACATACACACAAAACCTCCCTTCTTTGTAGTAATACTATCAGGCTGCTGGGTGTCATTTATGGTAAAAACAATTTAAACTTTCTATGTGGGATTAAGGGTTTAGGTTTTTAACATGTATATGCAAACTTATCTTGTACTTCTTTGAAACTAGGTTTCTTATAATATAGAAATATGTTTCTTGTAATCATTTATGTTAGAAGGCAACTCTGTTTATTATTTGAACTTACATAATTTTTTTCCTTGCATTTTAATGTGCTCTCTGTTAGAATAAGTTTCATTTTTGCAAAAGTGTCTTAAATACTTTTGATAAAAATGAGTTCATATTAATATCTATTTATTTTCATGATAAAGAAAAAACAAAAACAAAGAACTGATAAACATACTGTACATGAGGCAGACAGCATACAGAGATGGAACTTATTTTGTTTTTAATGGCATAGCTTCCAAACAATTTTTAAAGCCAAATAGTCACTCATCTCAGAAACTGCTGCCCAGCTGATACAATGTGTATGACACAGAGGATCATATTTCTGTTTGATCACAGGAAGTCCACATCAATCTTGCTTCATGGGGATTATTGTAAAAGTAGAACAAAAAACAACCCCCCTTAACTTCTTGTGTAGTAAGACAAAAATGCAACAAGCACACACTCAGTCCAGCTACTTGCATGTAGTTGTCTTCCCTATCTGCACATCGGTGAGCGCTAACTAATTACTATGAAATAGATGAGTGGATTCTGAAAATTAATTAGATACAATCAACTTTGTTTTAAATACTTTTAAGTCAAAGTAGCTTCTATCAGTACTCTCAAGATTTTGGGTGTTCTTCCTTTGACTGTAATGTTGGCAGCAGTACCAGTCCCCAAACTGATCCCTTCATTCCTTTTCTTGGAGAACTCAAGGCAGCATACGCAAGGATATCCACTAATTTTAACTGTATAACAACGCTTTGACGCTGGTTAAACTGAGATCTGTGTCTGACCAAAAAATGACAGAATATGGGCTTGAATGTGGTCTCCCCAATCAAAGCCCACCATTTAGCTATTATGCAGCCCCTTTTTCTAAACAGGACAATTAAGACCAACGTGTGAGATATTTCTTAGGTGGGGAAACAGAACATTGGAGAGAGAGAGAGGGGAGCGCTGAGTGCCCAGAAAGAAGGCATAGCTAGCTGGCTGAAACCTCCCATGACGATTCACCCTGCTACTTCTTTTTATTTCAGGCCCACTTGTCTTCTAATAATAGGGTGGACTGAAATTTTATTTTCTGAATTATAAACATAACATTTAGCTATATAAGGTAAACAGCAGATATGTTTGGTAGGGTGTGGTAAAGTGTGGTAGAGTGTTTGGTAGGGAATTGGGAGTGTTTGAGCCCCTGTTGGCGCTGAGAGCAGCTAGCTGAAGTGCCACTGGGGCTTGCTGCCCCACCCCTTGTCTCCTCTCCCTTGTGTGGTGGGTGGTATGGCGGGCCCCTTAAGTTGGAGGCCTGGAAGGGGGGGGAGTACCTCGGGCGGTTTAGGGTGGGCATTCAGGTGGTGACGGGCAAGGGGCAGTATGACAGGAGCCAGAGGGCAGGCCGTTTCAGGGGAAGACGCCCCCGATGTGTTATACCGGTGGCATGTTCTGGCCCTCAGAGCTCAAGCCCAGACCCTGGTCAGCAGGCCTACAGAGGCCTGGGCTTTTGGCTGGTGCTGCTGAACACCAGGTCAGTCAATAATAAGGCCCCCCTTATTCACGATCTTATTGGGGAGGTGCAGGCTGACCTGGCCTGCATTACCGAGACCTGGCTGGCACCAGAGGGGGGAGTAGCCCTTTTGGAATTGTGTCCAGCCAGGTTTAGGGTTTGACACCAGCCGAGGCCCTAGGGCAGGGGAAGGGGAGTGGCAGTGGTCATCAGGGAATCCCTATTGGCCTTCAGGGGTCCTGCTCCACAAGTTGCTGGATGTGAGACCCTGTTTCTGAGGTTGGGCACACGGGATCAATTGGGAGTCCTGCTAGTGTACCAGCCTCTCTGCTTCATAGCAGCCTCCCTGCCTGAGCTGCTGGAGGCCATCTTGGGGTTGGCAGTGGAGTTCCCCAGACTTATGGTCTTGGGGGGCTTTAATCTGCCATCCCTCGGGTTGGCCTCCGAGGTGGCTTGGGAGTTCATGGCTACCATGGCCTATCTCAGGTCATCTGTGGCCTGACCTGGGGCAGTGGTCACACTCCAGACATGGTTTTCTTGTCGGAGCAGTGGCAGCATGATCTGGTGGGGGATTTTATATTATCCCCCCCGTCATGGTCAGATCACTCCCTGGTGGCGGTGGGATTCTCCTATGCTTCCCCCCTCCACAGAGAGGTGAGACCTATTCGAACGGTCCATCCCCGGCGACTGATGGACCCGCACGGGTTCCAAAGGGAGCTGGGGGTTGTTCCTGAGGCCTTGCTGCATGGCCCAGCAGAGGCTCTGGCCGCAGCCTGGAACAAGGAGGCAGCTGGGGACTTGGACAGGGTCGTGCCTGTAAGTCCTCTCTTGGCCCATCACCCCCGACACTCCCTGTGGTTCACGGAGGAGTTGAGGGAGCTGAAAAGGGCTAAGAGACGTCTAGAGCGCCGCTGGTGGAAAACCAAAGATGAATCTGACCGAACACGGGTTAGAGCCGCTATTAAGGCTTACCTAGTGGCGGTAGGGGCGGCGAAACGTCAACATTTCTGCGCTCTTATTGTGGCCTCAGAGTGTCACCCTGCAGCCCTGTTTAGGGTCACTCGGTCCCTCCTGGGAAAAGGGGGGGCAGAGGACTATTTGCAGGGTTGTGCAGAGGAATTTGCTGAACACCTGATGGACAAAATTTGTGGCCTCAGAGTGTCACCCTGCAGCCCTGTTTAGGGTCACTCGGTCCCTCCTGGGAAAAGGGGGGGCAGAGGACTATTTGCAGGGTTGTGCAGAGGAATTTGCTGAACACCTGATGGACAAAATCACTCAGATCCCTTCTCAGTTGGAAGCCAAGCATGGAGCAGGTCTGGGGGGAGTTGCCCAGGGAGCGTTCTTACCCAGTTATCTGGGAACGGTTTGATCCTGTTGTCCCTGAGGAAGTGGACAGGGTCCTCGGAGCTGTTAGTACGACTACCTGTGGTTTAGATCCTTGTCCCTCCTGGCTAGTTAAAGCTACCAAGGAGGTGACCTTAGGGTGGGTTCTGGCAGTGGTCAATTCATCCTTGCAGGAGGGGGTATTTCTGAAGCCTTTCAAAGAGGCTTTGGTCTGCCCACTCCTCAAGAAACCATCGCTAGACCCCGCCCTTCTGGACAATT